GGCGCCCGCTCGGGCCCCGCTGGCCGTGCGCCCGCGCCAATGGGCGCCCGCAGGGCCCTCGCCCCGCCCCGGGACCGCCCCCGCAACTCGAGCCACCGGGGGGGAACGCGGACTGGGGGCCCTGGGCACCGGGGGGCGCCGATGGGGGGGCAGTGGGGTGCGGGGTCGCCAGCCCGGATGGGGGGGCTGGGCGCCCCGCAAGGCAGGCGAAACGGCACATCTCGGTGCCGAAGAACTCGGGGGGCTCGACCTGCGTTTCCTGGGTGCTGGTGCGCCAGGGAACTCTGGGGCGAACGTGTGTGGCATCCAGGCCCAGGTGGCGCGGAGGGTCCCCGCGCCCCTCTCGAGGGCTGCGGGGCTGGGGCATCCCAGCAGAACGCAAGTCCCGACGCGGGTGGCTGGGCGCGTGGATCTTGGGGACCCGGATCCCCGCTGGGAGCTGGCAACCCAAGGAAGCTTCCCCAGGCTCCCCTGGAGCGCACGGCCGCCACCTGCCTGAGCAGGCAGAACGGGGCTGGGAGGCACCTGGAGTCGCAGCCAGATCCCGAGCGCCCCCCGGTGCTGCACGCGCGATCCCTGGGCAGCCCGGGCTGCAACCAGGTGCCGGACTCTGGCAAGGCTGACCAGGCCTTGGGGCCAGATCCCGTCCAAGCCTAGAGCACTGTGTTCACAGGCTGTGCCTGCCTGCCCGCAAAGAGAGGAGGTGGGTGGGAAACGTGGGTCAGATCCTACCTGCACAACAGAGCTCGCCGGGGTGCGTCTAAGCAGCGCGCCTTTGGGACCCACCCAAAATAGCCGGATAATAGTTCCCCCATCCTCAGTGCGTTGAATTTGAGTCGACGCGGGTACAGCACCAGGGGCCACCACGACAATTTGGGGGTCTGAGGAAGCCATGTCCTAGAGAGTTTGGATAATGTTAGAAGGCGTTATTTTTTTTTTTTTTAAGCCGAATCAAAACCACTCATACACCCATGCACCCTGCCCGCCCCCCGCAGCCAGCGCTGCCCGCGCCTCCTGGAGTCGGAAAGGGGCCGCGGGCGGCGGAAACCCGCGCGTCGCGGGCTAAGCCCCGGGCCTCGCCATCAAGCACTGCGCCCGCGCAGAGCGCGCGCCTCCCGGAGTCCCTGGACCCAAGGGCTGGAGGATCCAAGCCGCCCCAGCGCGCAGCGCCTCTCCCCGGCGTCCCTGCGACCCGGCGCTCTGCCCGCCCCACCGCGAGGCCCCGGCGGCTCTTCCCGCCACCGTGATGTCTGCAAAGAGTGCATGAAAAGGGGCTTCAGTTTGGGGGCGCCCGGCCCCAGGCTGCACGGCGGCAGAGGGAGAAGCTCACAGCCGGCACCCGCGCTTCTGGGTCCTGCAGCTGGAGTCGAGCGCCCAGCCGGGGCAGCACAGCAGCCAGTGCCGGCAGCCGCAGGGTTGGAGCCTTGGGAACTGCGCCTCGGGGAGCTCACCACAAGGCCGAAGTTGCGTCCGCGGGCGCACGAGGAGCAGAGGCGACGGGCGGGAGAGCGCTGTGTGGAGGGCAGTGGACGCTGCTGAAGGTGAGCGAGACCCCGGGGGCAGTCCCCAGTGTCCGGGGGCAACGCCCAGTCCGTTGGAAGACCCGGGGACAATGCCCAAATTTGGGGGAAACTGGGGGCAATGCCCAGTCGTTTTCCTGGATGCGGGAGAAGCACTGCCCACGTCCTGGCGGTTGCGCAGCGTCCTGAGTGTGTTTGGGGCATACAGAAAGACTTCCAAAACCTGAGCTGCTCCGGGACACCGTAGGAAAAGAGTCCGAAATCAGTGTTCCACTGTGCGCAAGACAGGGGAAGGAAGCTGCCAAGGGTGGCGGGTGGAGGTGGAAGCAATGCCCCAAATTCGGGGATCCCAAGTCAGACCGCTGACTGATTTGCAGCTCAGAGAGTGTCCCAAAGCAAGGGGACCCCAGGGAGAGTCCATAAATGGGGGCACTGTGGTTAACGACTAAACCTGAGATTTCAGAAAAATAAGAGTCCACGTTTGGGGAATGAGGGAAATTACTCCATGAAAAAATGGGGAGCGCAGTGATGCAGCCCTCCTGAGGTAACCCAACATCTTGCCCAGCTATTTTAAGGAACCCACAAAAACCTAGGCTCATTTGTAAGGGTTAGATTTTGGGGGTTGAGTTAAAAAAAATTCTCTCAGAAATTTGAAGAAATTTAGGAGCGGCATTGGGTGAAATTCTGGGATGTAAAGCAATTGACACACTTTGGGGGTCCAGGTGAATTATTAGAGAATGTGGGGGGCTAATCTCTAACTTTGAGGACTGCAGGCCGGTGGCCCTTGCAGCATCCAGGGAAACTGACCTCAGTTATTGCCGCTTCAGAGATCTTTAGCCTCCTGTAGAGACCGGAGAAGAACCCTCTAAATTTGGAGGATTCCAGACTTTAAGCGGGTGGGTCCATTTGAGGAAGACAGAAAATCAATGTTCTTTAATATTTTAATTTCTCAAACTGACTTCAATTGGTGTTTTTGTTGAACGAGGGGAAAGTTCCTATATGCTTTCTTGGACAATGTTTGCACTTGAGGGACCCAAGTGAAACACACTCTGAGTTTCAGGGATCAATAGAAATTACCCACTGGGGGTTGGAACCTAAACTTCGGGCATTGGAATTAGCTAAGAAACTAATAAGTCACAGACCTAGGATTTTTGGGATCCAGGGACATTTTTTTTCATTGTACTTTGGGGGACTATAAACATGTCTAAATGTAGGGAGACTCAGGCAGGGGTCATAAATTCAACAAAGTTCATTAAAGTTTAATAAAAACTCGTTTCTTTAGAAGAAAAAAATCTCAATTTGTTTTTGGAGTGTCTGAATTTGGGGGCCCAGGAAAATAATTTCTGAATCTAAAGTTTCCAAGATCCTTTGAGCACTTAAGGGTCAATTGCTATATTTTAAGGAATATTGAGGATTGAATTCCTAAGTCATGGGGCCTGAGAATCACGCCCCAAATTTGTGATCTGCAAAGACTGTACAGAAAATCCTGTTGAAATTCAAGGGACTGCGTGGGAACCCTGCTGGCACTGCAGCCAGAGTTTTTCTGTGACCCAAGGATAACACTGTGTTTGGGGACCTGGAAGGCATTGCCTTATGTTTGTGGAAGCCTAACTTGGACAGACATGGGGAAGGGGAGAGGGTCCAGGATGAACCTGGATTTTGCAATTGGTGTTGAATTTTAGAAAACCCAGATTCATCAGCAAACTAGAGGGACCCAGGGACTCTTCATATTTCCCTCTGTGGTACAGAGGGAAAGTTCAGAGGACTGAGGGTAGTCAACAAAGCCTAGTTTATACTAGAAAGGCTCTGTCCACAGGTTAGCTTTGTGCTTGACAAGACCCAGAAAGACATGGGATTGATTATGTCTGTCTGTCTGAGGTCCGCCACACCATATGGGAACACACCTTGGGTCATCGCTCAGCCTGTTTTGTAGGCTTGGGTGATAGCGTCTACATTTTAAAGTATCCCAACTGTGGCCAGAAAGCTTGCAAGGGCCCTGAAAATGAATTCCCCAGACCTTTGTGGCCCATGGGGGTGGGGATGTGTTCCATGAGTTTGGGGGTGGTGGCTGAAAGTGCTCTTGATTTTATGGAATTCGGAAGATGAGAAGGCAGGCTGTGTGAGGTGACAGGATGCCTACATTTAGGAGAGCATAGAAAACAAGGTTGAAACTTTGAGGGTTCTGGGAAAATTGTTAGGGAGACCTAGGTGGGATTCAACACGTAAAATTTAGAGTTGAGGCGATAAAGTATGGAACCCAGTAATGTCCACGTTAGTCAATCAGGAAAAACGTGTAAGAAATAAGGGCGAAGTTCGTGGGAACACAACCGCAAAGACACAGGAAAAAGTTCCTCTTGTGGGCGCAGCCCCTAAATAAGAGGAAAATATTGTCCACTCTTTGGGGAGCCGGAAAAATTTGTCTGCAGGGCCCTAGGACCTGGGTTTAAATTTGTACCTTAGGAAACTGGGGTTGGTGTTCTTTCAATTGTAGGAGCTTGCACAGAAAACTGTTACAAGTCCAGGGGAAAAACTTGGGGACCCAGTTCACATAGTCTAAATGTGGCAAAGCCAACAGAGGCTCCCCACCTTTAGAAATGGTTGGAAATTAGTGTTGGTTTTTTTCCCCCCGCCCCGTGAGCACTACAAATGTTGAATGATTTTGGAGGGCCTGGAAAGCATGCATAAATTTCGAGGATACCAGCAAAACTTAACGCCCTAGGTTCAGAAAAGCAGGGGACGTTTTCCCGGGGTGCTCAGAGACCATAGAGAATTGGGGCTGCATTTGAGACCAGGAGCTCCCTGGCCGTCAAGGACAGCGGCGCCAGGACCTACGGTGCCAGGACTAGCATGGAGCAGGGGCGCCCTCGCTGGGGGATGCAAGCTCGGGAAGGGGGCGCAGGCGGTACGGACGCGGAACACGGGCGCCCCGGAGCGCACGCCGAAGCCAGTGGAACTTTTCGTTGTTTTTTGCCTTCGCGCCCCCCGACAGGGCAAGGGTGGAGGAGGCCGAGCCAAGCCGGCGTCGAGGAGGGAGGACAGCGTGCAGGCAAGCGGCCCTGAGCGGCTCCCCGCTCCTCTCCGAACTCTGAGCGCCCCGCTCCGCCGCAGCCGCGCAGGAGGCCCGCGGGCGCCCCGCCGCCCCTGCGCCCCATGCGCTCCGGCGCTGCGAGCCTAGGCGAAGCCGCGGCCCCATGGCCGCCGGGGGCAGGCTCTGCCCTAGCTTGGCTTTGGG